AAAGTAACATAATGTCCTGACTCAAAGATGAGATTGATTGTACTCTGTTTTTGTGAAGTCCTGTAAATGATGTCATTGTGACACTTCAGTCTATCTTTCTCTCTAGTGACCTTTCAGGAACAATGAGGACAGTTTGAACGTAGTGACATTTAGTGGTGAAATGTTTGGTGTCAATGCCGTCTCTTCAGCCCAAATACAACTTGAGGTATCATGAAAACATACATACATAGCTTTTTTTTCATTTCATTTATAAGTATTGAAAATATTCTTGGTTTTTATTATGACCAATCAAGTCCAGATGTGTTCTGAAATGTGTAAATTCTCTGTTTTCATATTAATAAAATTGTAACATCCTGCTCAAAATGCAACCAATCTCTAGACTTAAGAAAGTTTAGATATCCACAATTAACCAATATTCAACAAATGTGTCTTGAATCTTAACTTACTTCAAAAAAAAAAAAAACTCAACTACCTAAGATGCAGCTTCTTACTGTTGATGAAGAAGGTCATACTCAGTACAGTACGAGCTTCTGACACACAGAGACTGAGATTATCATGTAAAGATGAGGAAAGAAAGGTGAGTCATTGCTATATAAATGTGTTTAATCAGCATTTTTTTTTTTTTTTATATATCTTACCTAACTGTTTTTGTAATTCATCACATGAGCATAATGCAAATTATTGTACTCGCACGGTGAGTGATGCAATTCATATATCCTCCTGTAGGGGGCTGTAATGTGCTCCGAAATGTAGAAGGAGACAACTCGGAGAGAATGAGAAGAAGAAGAAGAAGAAGAAGAAGAGGGAGGGGAGCACATTGTACTTCAGCAGTCCAGTCAAGCCGAGGAAAGTCCTGTCATACTTTTAATAACAACTAATTAACCAGAAACTAATATAACTGTATCTGCTGTGTTTAGCTGCAGCTTGTTGTCACTGTCCGCTCGGTTTGTTCACGAAACGCTCTCATTGTACCAAAGTCAAGAACATGGGACGGAAGGTGACTCTTGCTACCTGCTCGTTAAATCAATGGGCTCTGGACTTTGAAGGGAACTCAGAGAGAATACTAAAGAGTAAGTCCTGCTGCAACACTGGAGTATTTATTCTGCTATTTCAGATCGATTCTGCAGGCTACTTAGAAAGAATCTGCCTGCTGCAAGAGATTAAATAGAGTTCAGCCGATGACAACAAAATAACACGATGGACTTGAAGTGTGGAGGAACATGCATTCCCTTTAAGTATGAGCATTATGTGACATTTCAAATCCGTCTTGCTCTTATGCTTTTAGAAAAAACTGTAAATCCCCCAGATATGTCTGGACCTGATGCAATTCAAATACAAAACAACTGGAGTGCAAAACAAGTTGCATTAGTTAGGATAAATAAATCAGGAGACTTTCTGCAATAGAATAGAATAGAATAGATGTTAATTGCCATTTGCACAGGTACAGGTCAGTACAGGTACATTGGAATTTGTGTGCGTTTCTCCCTGAGTCAGCTCCTACAAAAAAAGTTAAAATTAATATATAAGATAGAATAGCATTGTAAGAAAAAAAGAGTAGAAAAGTACAAATAAAATTAAAAATAAGTTGTAGTAAGAGCTAAGTAAATTAAAATAAACTGTACAGAAGCTATACACTGTATTAAAGCACATATATAATACAAAAAAGAACAAAGGGAAACACTGTACAATGAAATGAAAATATAAATATGTTTTCGTGTCTCTAAGAAAAATCGAATTTTACTGATTAAGTTTCACATTGAACAAAAATTCTTTGCTTGAATTGTTTTTGCAGGATTCGCATTTATTTCATTCTGTGACATTTTTTAAAATTTAGTGAAGACATATCGCTCAATTGGAAACAATGAGGCCTAAAGAAGCTGATCTGTGAAGTGTTAAAAACAAACAAATAGCATAAAAACCATAGAAATAAAGCTTAAGGTGTGCCTCATCATCACTACCTTTGAATAATATAAAAGGGGGCTAAAGAATCCATTATCCATATCCACAGTCTGCTGTCTTTTGAGACATGCTACACACACATTGGCTGACATACACACACGTGCACAGACAGGATCTTATGAGCATGCATTTGTGGAGAGATGTCAGAGTGAGGGGCTGCAAATGAAAGAGCGACTGAGCAGTTGTGTGGTCAGTGATCTGCTCGAGGGAACATCAGCATTGCTCAGGAAGTGAACTGGCACCTCTACAACAACCAAACCATTTTCCAGACTTGGTCTGTGCAGACTGAGCCCCTGCCGCCCATCGTCACAGTTTGCTGCCTGTAGATTCCTGTAGAGTTTGGTCTGCAGAGAATCCAAACATGGAGTGTTTACTTTCAGTATCTTCAAGACTCTCAGTTCAACAGTTCACTCCCTCCCTCACTTTGAATGTCTGAGAGCTTCTTGAATAGCGTAGCTTTCAGTCCTTTAAGTGCTTCAATCAAAACGTTTTAAAGGTCACATATGCAAAATACATTTTTCCAATATTATGTGTCCCCAGTCTGTCTGCAAACCCCCCAATTATAAGAAAGTCCATCTTCTCTATTTTTTTCCATGCGCCACTTATCAGAAAATGTGTGCTCAAACAGGCCGTTTGGAGATTTTCCCTTCATGACATCACAAAGGGCAGTAACCCCTCCCCCAGGTGGGTGACACTCCCACAGCTAGGTGTTTGTTCGGCCCTCTGAGTCTGCCTTCTCACCGTAAACAATAGGACATGGAGCGAGAAAGCTTGAGGCACATCCCCTTCCAGAGAGGGGGCGTGGTCAGGCACAGCTCATTTACATATTTAAAGGTACAGACACAGAAACAGCCTGTTCTGATCAGGGCTGAAATAGAGGGGTTTATAGACATGATCAAATACAGGATCAGTGGATTTAGACTTGTTTAAAGTGGTTGTAAAGGAGTATAATATGTGATCTTTAAGGTCCTGAATTAACTTTTATTTATTTATTGTTTTTATTTTTTACAGGTATTGAGCTCGCTAAGGCTCAGGGGGCCAAATACAGGCTGGGCCCGGAGCTGGAGATATGGTATGTAGGAAATAGCACTCAATCATTTCCAAGAAATTTCACAGGTTCCAAAATTCCACACATATTTTCTAGATTTCAGATAACAAAAATGTATATTGGCAAAATTGTCTTGGTCCAAAATATAATGTTTAGAACCAAAAATCATGCTTTGCTTTTCAGAGGTTTTAAAAGCTGCTTGCACTGCCAGAGATGTCAGGTTCAATTTAACTTCCCTCAGCCTTCCTCTCTTGTCTAACACGTGTCATTTCTTTCAGCGGGTATGGCTGTGCAGACCACTTCTATGAATCAGACACGTTGCTCCACTGCTTTCAGGTTCTTAAGAAGCTTCTGGAGTCTCCCATCACCCAGGACATCATCTGTGACGTGGGCATGTGGGTATCACCTTCAAACAGTGAGACCAATTGAAATGTGGTCGTCAGTATAGCAGCGCTGAGCCACATGTTATATGAACATTTGAAGTTCTTTCATAGCCAAAGGCATCAGCTGCACTGCAAACTAGCTGTGCATAGAGGGTTGGAAACTGCACGGCTGCCAGTTAAAGTCCTGAATATGGACCTAAGTATGCATGGATAAAAACTGAATTGAATAATTGAATATTTGCTGAATTTAATCGGAGTTTAAAGTTATAGGACATGCATGTTTTTACACTAACAGTCTGACCTTCTTGTGTAGCCTGAAGTCCGGTCTGGTGTCACATTTGACAAAGTGTTTTTGATTCTGTTTCAGGCCCATCATGCATCACAACGTGCGCTACAACTGTCGGGTCCTGTTCCTCAACAAGTACGTCAGCTCACCACTCCTGTCTTATTGCTGTCTTTATATGTCTGTGGTTTGAACATTTTAGAATATTTCTCTTGGAGCAGCAGACCGTGTGTCCCTGCAGATGAAAATAGTCTGTTTGTACATTTTTTTTTGTATTTTCTTTCGTCCTGCAGAAAGATCCTTCTGATCAGACCTAAAATGATGATGGCAAACCACGGGAACTACAGAGAGCTGCGCTGGTTCTCACCTTGGAACCAGTTAAGGTTGGTCATTACTCAGAAGTCCACAACAAACTGCAAAATCAAAAGCTGAAAAGCTCAGTCTTCAGCTACCTCTTTATCTCAAGGTTTGGTTTACTGCTGATGCTGCACCATTCTGTCTTTAAACGTTCAATTCATTTACCATTCGTAGTAAAAGGACCTAGATACTAGAAACCATATTCATTATTGACATGTTAAAAACATAAGAATATGACTATAATAGAGTGTTTGGTTGTTGTTTATGTAAAGTCTTTCCATATGTATGCTCTGTAAAGATAATCCCTGGGAGTGTTTTCTGCAGGGTCAAGAATATGCAAGTTTGTTTACCTCGATATGATTCATTTAAACTTTAAGAAACAACATGGTTGGCAGTAAAAGTGCTCGTGTTTCTGCTCTTTACTTTAAGGAACGTGGAGGAGTACTTCCTGCCCAGAATGATCCAGGACGTAACAGGCCAGGTAAAAAGTAAACACTGTCATCATCTGTAGTTTTCTGGACTTTTCTGTGTCTGTGTTTTTAACCTCCTCTGTGTTTGTTGTTTATCAGGATACAGTCCCTTTCGGTGACTGTGTGTTATCCACAAAGGACACCTGCATCGGCACTGAGTTATGTGAAGAACTCTGGAACCCCAGGAGGTAGAGCCAAAGTGGGTTTTAAGGGTTGTTTGTGTAGGCAGTCCTAACTCATGATTACTAATTGTTTTCTCTGATTTGATCAGTCCTCATATTCAGATGGGTCTGGATGGGGTTGAAATCTTCACTAATTCATCTGCAAGCCACCACGAGCTCCGCAAGGCCGACCAAAGAGTCAACCTGGTCAAGTCAGCCACCACCAAGGTAATCTTGAAGCAGGGTCATAAAACATGTGCTCCACTTTAAATGTGATTCTGCTTTGTACAAGACCATCCATCCATCTATCCATTCATCCATCCATCCATTCATCCATCCATTCATCCATTCATCCATCCATCCATTCATCCATCCATTCATCCATCCATCCATCCATCCATCCATCCATCCATCCATTCATCCATTCATCAATCCATCCATCCATCCATCCATCCATCCATTCATCCATTCATCAATCCATCAATCCATTCATCCATTCATCAATCCATCCATCCATCCATTCATCCATCCATTCATCCATTCATCCATCCATCCATTCATCCATCCATTCATCCATCCATCCATCCATCCATCCATCCATCCATCCATTCATCCATTCATCAATCCATCCATCCATCAATCCATCCATCCATTCATCAATCCATCCATCCCTCAATCAATCAATTCATCCATCCATCCATTCATCATTCATCAATCCATTCATCCATCCATTCATCAATCCATCCATCCATTCATCCATCAATCCATCCCTCAATCAATCAATCCATCCATCCATTCATCAATCCATCCATCCATCCATCAATCCATCCATCCATTCATCAACCCATCCATCCATCCATCCATCCATCCATCCATCCATCCATCCATCCATCCATCCATCCATCCATCCATCCATTCATCAACCCATCCATCCATCAATCCATCCATCCATTCATCAACCCATCCATCCATCCATCCATCCATCCATCCATTCATCAACCCATCCATCCATCCATCCATCCATCCATCAATCCATCCATCCATTCATCAACCCATCCATCCATCCATCCATCCATCCATCAACCCATCCATCCATCCATCCATCCATCCATCCATCCATCCATCCATCCATCCATCCATCCATCCATCCATCAACCCATCCATCCATCCATCCATCCATCCATCCATCCATCCATTCATCATTCATCTATCCATCCATCCATCAATCAATCCATCCATCCATCCATCCATCCATTCATCATTCATCTATCCATCCATCCATCAATCAATCAATCAATCAATCAATCCATCCATCCATCCATCCATCCATCCATCCATCCATCCATCTATCCATCCACCATAGGGCGGCTGTGGATCAGTTGGTGGAGTCGGTCATCTCTCAACTGGAAGGTCGGGGGTTCGATCCCCAGCTCCTGCAGCGACATGTCCGATGTGTCCTTGGGCAAGACACTTAACCCCAAGTTGCTCCTGCTGCTTTGTCGGTGGCGTGTGAATGTGTGTACATAGAAACCTCTACCATCAGTGTGTGAATGTGTAGGTGTGACCTGCGGTGTCAAAGTGCTTTGAGTAGTCAGAGGACTAGAAAATAACTATACAAGCTCAAGTGTCTTGCCCAAGGATACATCAGACATGTTGCAGAATCTGGGAATCGAACCCCTTCCAACCTCCCGGTTGAGAGACGACCGGCTCTACCAACTGAGTAGTGCTCTTTTCTTTTTATTCTTACATGTCCTGCAGCACTTTGCACTAGCTGAAGGGTCTTTAGAGACTTTCTAGCGCAGCCTAATAAAAGAAAATTGCAGTAATCCAACATGCATGGACTAGTTTTTTTTCTGCATCGTTTTAAAACAAGATGTCTGCAGTGTTACGCAGGTGAAACAAAGTCTGACCCTGTAGATCACTAAAACATGCCTGGAGTAGAATACACAGGTATTTATAAAAAATAAAAATAAAAAAAAGCCCATTACGATTGAAATCATTTATTCCAACAAGAACCTAATCAAGACATGTATGTATATGTGTTTATACAGACACTGCAGAGCAGAGACCACCAGAGGGCAGTGTTGTACTACAAGTAGGGCACATGATGCCTCCATAGCAGTCTATGTTTGTGTTGTTTTTTCTGCAGTAGTCTGAATGAAAGTGTTTGGATTGTTTTGTTCCAGAGTGGAGGTATCTACCTGTATGCCAATCAGAGGGGCTGTGATGGAGACCGTGTTTACTACGACGGCTGTGCCTTGGTGGCCATCAACGGAGACATCGTGGCACAGGGAGCACAGTTCTCCCTAAACGATGTGGTCAGTATGGAAACATTAAAGGGCAAATGCAGATAGGATCCCTTTTTGTTAAAACAACAAAAACAAACGAGGAATGTAAAAAACAAAATATTTTACAGGTTTGGATCAGAGAAGAGAGTATGGGAGAATGTTTCCAGACTAATGCACTTATTATGTTGTTTTTGTAATTGCACATATACATAGCATCTCATATATGCTAATGTGAAGCCTTTTTGAATTTATAATCATTCTGTCTTTTCTTTGCGACTGAATTCATGTTGTCTTCATCAACGGATTGAAAAAAGGCTTCACATAGAATAAAACGTTTTTTTGGCTCAAAACTAAACTGAACACTAAATGGAACAATAATTGACTATGTTCAGGGAAAATAATAAGAGTGTAGGGTGCATCAGTTAGTCTACTTCCTGTTTAAACGGCGCTGTTTGACAGAGGAACAGAGACGTCTGGACTGAACGGCTGCGGTGAGAACACAAAAGTTTCCAAAGCTTTATAGACATACGTCATATTGTAACATACTGAACATGTTTACAGAAGGATTTTAATTTGTTGCCATAATAGACATTCAGATTTTTGTACTCTGATGTCAAATATGGTCTGAAATACTTACAGAGAAGGCTCCATTGCTGAGTCATGAAAAGTTGGGAATTTGTAAATTGAAAATATGGACAAAGCGTGCATACCTGATAGATGTGTAATTGTGTGTGTGTGCGTGTGTGTGTGTGTGTGTGTGTGTGTGTGACTTTCTTGTAGGAGGTGATCACAGCCACTCTTGACCTTGAGGATGTGCGTAGCTACAGAGGAGAAATTTGCCAGCCCAACATGGTGAGGCAGCATCAACTTCCTTAGTTTTGCTTCATGAATTTGATGCAGAAGAGACTCTAAGCGGTGTTTAAAAATGTATCAGAATGGAGAACCAGACATGAAATTCAGGTGAAGCATTTCATTTGGAAACCTGACGGTTGTTGCTGCTTCCTGTTTGTATGTGAAGTCAGCACAATGCAGTGTCAGGTTTACTACAGCTTTTTGTAACCTTACATATGTATCGGATCGGAACTGAAGAAAAATGGATCGGTGCGTCTCTACTTTTAAATTTATCACGGCATTGACCAAAAAAAAAAGGGAATATTTTATATAAACTTAACTTAAGGTGAGTTTTAGCTTTGACTGCAGTTGACTGTGAATACTGTAAGTCCTGACAAGCTATTAACAAAAAAAACATTGAGCTAACTAAAGTCCAGATTCCTTTCTGAGGGGTTTTGTGTGGACTTCACAGAGGTGTGTTTTATCTCTCTCTCTCTCTCTCTCTCTCTCTCTCTCTCTCTCTCTCTCTCTCTCTCTCTCTCTCTCTCTCTCTCTGCTGCAGGAAAGTGAACACAAACTCTGCCACAGGGTGAAAGTGGACTTCTCTCTCTCCACTGTTGATGATATCTACCTCCCCACTCACCAGCCTATCACATGGCAGTTTCATACAGCAGAGGAAGAGATCAGGTATACATACATTTCATTTGGTACATAAGCATGAATGAATTATTGTCATTATTATAAAGCACTTCTCACATGTGCTGCTCAGTTTAGGGCCGGCCTGCTGGCTGTGGGACTACCTGAGGAGGAGTGGACAGGTGAGGAGGAACAATTATGTCAGACTCTTTTGTCAGCATAACCAAAGTCAACCATCTTTGTTTTAAGCTTTTTTTTTTTTTTTACTATTTTCATTGTAAAACTGAAAACTAATGAGGAAAAACTTACATGGCAATAAATCTGTTTCTGACTTTCCTCTGAATTTAGTGCTCTGATACGGTTTGTATTTGTTTGTGTTTTTTCTTTTTAAATTATGATATTAAAAGCTAATATGAAGAATGAATCGATTTTTGACTTTTTTTTTTTTTTAAACTAAAAATAATATTTCTGGTTTGTGTCCCAGGCTGGCTTTCTGCTGCCTCTGAGCGGAGGAGTGGACAGCTCGTCCACTGCCTGCATCGTCCACTCGATGTGTGTGCTGCTCTGCCAGGCGGTAGAAGACGGCAGTGAGTATGAGTCACTCTGCTGTAACTCAGATGCATGAACACGGATCAGCCAGAACATTATGAGCACTGACAGGTGATATGTCTTCACGATAGCGCCTGTCAGTGGTTTGGATGAGTTAGGCAGGAAGTGAACATTTTATACTCAACGTTAATGTGTTGGAATGATGAGAAATGTGCGAGGGTCAGAATGTGAGTGACTTTAACAAAAGGTAAGATTTTGGAGGCTTAGACCGCTGTGTCAGATCTCCAGAACCTGCAGCTCTTGTGGGCTGATTCCAGTCCGTACAGCGACAGGGTCATCCCATTCTGTTTTCATGAACATTTTTGTCCCAACAAACTATTGAATTTTTTTAGCATTTTTATTGTTTTGTTCAAATTCCAATAATATATAAACATACAGTGAGGGTGCACTTCAGCTTGTTTGGCCGTGACCGGTGACTTGCCGGCCCATACTCACACTCACAACCCTTATTATGCCATGCCCAAAGCAACACTAGCACTACACATACACACACATACACACACACACACAACACACACACACACACACACCACACACACACACACACAACACACACACACACACACACACACACACACACACACACACAAGCTAACATGTTGGCAGTGTGGATTTGAGGTGCCCATCAGCAGACTTGAGTAAGCTTGACAAACTGGAGAATAAACAAAGCTCCTCTTGCCTGATCAGAATCCAAAAAAAACTTTATTAATCTTAACAAAACAGAAATCTGTTAACAATAAATGTTTCGTCTCTCTCTCTCTCTCTCTCTCTCTCTCTCTCTCTCTCTCTCTCTCTCTCAGACATCCAGGCACTGGAGGATGTCCGCAGAGTGG